AAAGTTTTTCCTAATATCTAACCTAAACTTCCCTTGCTGCAACTTGAGACCACTGCGCCTTGTTCTGTCATCTTCCACCACTGAGAACAGTCTAGCTCCATCCTCCCTGTTATCACCCTTCAGGTAGCTGAAGGCTGCTATTAAATCCCACCTCAGTCTTCTCTTCTCTAGATTAAATAAGCTCAGTTCCCTCAGCCTCCCCACAGAAGTCATGTTCCCCACCCTCTAACAATTTTCACCGCTGTACTCTCTCCACAGCCCATTCATCTTCCACAACTGGACTCAGTACTCCAGGGGCCTTTGTAAATGCAATAAAATTGGCTTTTAAAGCAGCTCATTTGACCTTTTGCACTGCTTTAATGCTGTTGCTATTTATACGCTTGGTGGCATATTCTACTTTAAATGACTTTGTTACGTAGCAAGGTAAAACCCATCTGAGGTGTTTATTTTGCTACCTAGCAAAGTGCAATGGTGCACAGAATGCTGGAAGCCGATGTGCTTGGGGAAGCTTAGTCTTGGCAGGCTTCCAGCACCCTGTGCACCACTCCTGCTGCCAGCACCCCTAGCTGCCCTCCTGCCGCCAGCACCCCTAGCTGCCCTCCTGCCGCTTTGCCACTTTGCCCCAGGAGCAAACCAGCCGTTCCCAGGCAGTCCCAGAATGCAGGAAAGTGGCGAGGACAGTGGACAGGGTGCTGGAGCTTACCTGCCTGTCCTCCTGTCCTGTGGCATGGGTTGCAGGGAGGAGGGGGAGGTGCCAGCAGGCTGAGCGGTCTCTGAGCTGTGCAGGGCCTGCTGCTTTGCTCCGTGGTGGCGGCGCCACCTAGGCAGCACCCGACCACTGGCACCCAGCATAGACTGTCCCAGGGGGTGCTGCCACCATGGAGGGAAGCACCCGGCCCTGTGCAGCTTAGGGGCTGTGCGACCGAGCAGTAGCTCATGCAGGTAGGCTCGACTGAAGAAAGAAAAAAAGCAGGGAGGAGCCTGGTTTTTTTTTTTCAGTCAAGTCTGCCTGCACAAGCTATTGCCAGGTTGCACAGTCCCTGAGCTGCGCAGGGCCCAGTGCTCCCCTCTAGTGGCGGTACTCCCTGGGACTGCCCGGGCCAGGTGCCAGCAGGCAGGTGCCGCATTGGGGGCACCGCCACCATGGAGGGAAGCACTGGGGTCCCCCGCAGCTCACCCCCCTGCTGCAGAAGAGGCAGGTAGGCTCTAAGGATCGGGCTCCCTAACCCTTGTAGAGGCAGTTCCCAAACTCATGACAATTGGTTCCTGAAAACCGCGTCTCAAAATGTCGTAACTCAGAACCGATTTTCCCATAGGAACCATGTTATAAATGGGGGATTGGTTCCTGAACCAAGGCCCGATACCCTATTTTCACCAAAAATAACCCAGAATTTGGTACTTAATCTATTATAGGTAAGTAATAAAGCTACATTAATGTATTTATATTGTAAATAGCAATCATATTGATTTGGAAGGACTTCTTTGAGGTGACTTTGCTGGACTTTTTGAAGGGCTCTTGGTTGGACTTTTTGAAGGTTCTTGGCTGGAGTCTTCTCAGGAGTCTTGGCTGCAGATTTTTCTGGAGTCTTGTCTTCTTTCTTAAAGAAAGCGTCCAAGGAAGTTTGGACAGATATTCTCCAGGGAGATGGGGGAAGCAGCAAACTTGTTCACTGGCATGGTATGGCATCAGATCAAGCATTGTAAAGTCAAAACTGACATCAGAAAGTCAAAACAGGGTGTCAATTTATAAACATTGTAAATGCTGTTCATTGTAACTCAAAACATCTTAAGTCAAAGACTGCCTGTACACACAATGAGGGTTTAGTTCAGTTTAGTTCTCCCTAAATTGAAACTGTGGAAATGGTGTTTATAAAAACCCACCATTTCAACCTAGGGAGAATTAAACCCCTGTCATGTGTACAAGCATACCAGATGTAGCCTCATCGATGCCAAATAGAAAGGAATAATCACTTCTCTCAATCTGGCAATGCTCCTACTAATGCAGCCCAGTATGCCATTAGTCTTCTTTACAATAAGAGCACACTGTTTATTCATATTCAGCTTATTGTCCACTGTAACCCCCCGGTCCTTTTCTGCAGAGCTGCTGCTTAGCCAATCAGTTCCCAGCCTGTAATGGTGCATGGGATTGTTCCGTCCTAAGTGCAGGACTTTGCACTTGTCTTTATTGAACTTCATGCGATTTCTTTTGGTCCAATCCTCTCATTTATCAAGGTCTCTCTGGATCCTAGCCCTACCCTCCAGTATATCTATTACTTCCCTTGGCTTGGTGTCATCTGCAAACTTGCTGAGGGTGTACTGCATCCTATCTTGCAGGTCATAAGTGAAGATACTGAACAAAACTGGCCCCGGGACCAGCCCCTAGGACACTCCACTTGATACTGGCTGCCAACTAGACATTGAGCCATTAATCACTACCCTCTGAGCACAATGATCCAGCCACTTTTCTATCCATCTTACAGTCCATTCATCAATCTGTACTTCCTTAGCTTGCTTCTGAGAATATTGTGGGAGACCATATCAAAAGCCTTGATAAAGTCAAGTATGTCACATCCACTGTTATCCCCACATCCACAGTCAGTCATCTCATCACAGAAGGTAATCAGGTTGGTCAGGCATGACTTGCCCTTGGTGAATCTATGTTGACTGTTCCTGATCACCTTCTTTTCCTCCAAGTGCTTAGATATGGATTCCTTGAGGACCTGCTCCATGATTTCTCCAGGGACTAAGGTGAGGCTGACCAGTCTGTAGTTCCCCAGATCCTCCTCCTTCCCTTTCTTAAAGATGGGCACTATATTTGCTCTTTTCCAATCATCCAGGATTTCTCCCAATCTCCATGAGTTTTCAAAGATAATGACAAGCATTTCTGCAATCACATCAACCAACTCCCACAGCAGCCTCAGATGCATCACATCTGACCCCATGAACGTGTACACATCCAGCTTTTCTAAATAGTCCCTATCCTGTTCTTTCACCACTGAGGGCTGCCTACGCCCTTCTCCTCTGGGTGCTTCAAATGGATTTCTTCAGCACCTGCTCCAGGATCTTTTGGATATGGAAGTTGGGATGACTGGTCTATCATCCTCTGGATCCTCCTCCTTCTTCTTGAAGATACACATTATGTTTGCCCTTTTCCAGCCATCTGGGACCTCACCTGACCTCCATAAGTTTTCAAGGAGGACAGCTAATGGCTCTGAAATTACCTCAGCCAATTCCTTCAGTACCCTACAGTGCATCTCACCTAGTCCTGTTGACTTGACAGCCTCTACCTGCTCTAAGTAAACTCCCCACCAAAATTTGGGGGGAGGTGAGCACACTAGCAGGGAGAGAGAGATTGCAGAAGGATCTGGATAGGTTACAGGGGTGGGCTAACAGGAACAGGATGCGTTTCAATACGGACAAGTGCAGGGTGCTGCACTTGGGCAGTAGGAACCAGCAGCACACTTACACAATGGGGAACTCCCTACTTGAGAGCACGGAGGCAGAAAGAGATCTTGGAGTCATTATTGACTCCAAGATGAACATGGGCCGACAATGCGAGGTCATGGTTGGCAGGGCTAACCGGACCTTGTCGTGCATCCACAGGTGCATCTCGAGTAGAGCCAAGGAGGTGATCCTCCCCCTCTACGCGACGCTGGTCAGGCCACAGCTGGAGTATTGTGTCCAGTTCTGTGCGCCCCATTTCAAGAGGGATGTGGACAACATGGAGAGGGTCCAGAGGAGGGCCACCCGCATGATCCGGGGACAACAGGGCAGACCCTACAGTGAGAGACTGCGGGACCTGAACCTGTTCAGCCTCCACAAGAGAAGGCTGAGGGGGGACCTGGTGACCGTCTATAAACTCACTAGGGGGGACCAGAAGGGTTTGGGGGAGACGCTGTTTCCCCTAGCGCCCGCTGGCATAACAAGGAGTAATGGGCACAAGTTGATGGAGAGGAGGTATAGATTGGACATCCGCAAAAACTACTTCACAGTTAGGGCGGCTAGGAGCTGGAACCAACTTCCAAGGGAAGTGGTGCTGGCCCCTACCCTGGGGGTCTTTAAGAAGAGGCTGGATGCCTACCTGGCTGGACTCATTTGAGTCCCGTTTTTGTTTTGGGGTTTTGTTGTTCTCCCGCCCTGGCGGGGGGTCGGGCTAGAAGATCTACTAGGTCCCTTCCGACCCTAAATCTATGAAACTATGAACTGTAACCTGGTTTGGCATTACTCTAGGCTGTTTGTCCCCTCTGCTGCCAGCTGCACTCATCAGCTAGTAGCTAGCCCTATTTGTGAAACCTAAAGTAAAAAAGGCATTAAGTAGTTCAGCCTTCTCTGCACTGGCTGTGACTAGACTGCCTTCCACATTCTGTAAAGGACATATGGAATCTCTGGTTTTTCCCTACTTTCGACATACTGAATCCCATTTATTGCCTTTTATGTCCATATGCCAGCTGCATCTCAAACTGCATCCTGGCCTTCCTATTTTTTTCCCTGAATGCCTGTGTGATACTGTTATACTTTTCTCTAATACTATGACTAAGTTTCCATTTTTTATAGGATTGCTTTTTGAACTTCAATTCCTTGAAGGGACTGCTGTCTAGCCAGGCTGGTTTTCTACTGCACTTTCCAATCTTCTGTCACACTGGCCTTAATATGGCCTCCTTAAAAGTACTCTCCTGGACTCTTTTTCCCCTCAGACTTGCTTCCCAAGGGATCCTACCCACCAGGTCCCTGAATTTATTAAAGATTGCATTTTGAAGTCCAGTATCCTTATTCTAGTGATCTCTTGACTTCCTCCCCTTAGGACTTCGAACTCTTATCATTTTGTGGTCAATCACCCAAGTTACCTTCCACCTTCTCATTCTCAAATAATTCCTCATTATTTGTTCACAGTACGTTGAGAAGAGCTTCCTGCTTTATTGGCGTATCTACCATCTGAATAAAAAAAATATCCCTAGTACACTCCAGTGTATTATCCCCAAAAGCATTATCCACAACACAGGGTTGGTAAGGGATCTTGGTTTTTGTGAAATTGACAGTGAGTCCAAGCATTTAATAAGCTTCACAGAAGTGATCCAGAGTGATCTGGAGACCTTCAACTGAGTGAGCACACATGACGCAATAATCAGTGTACTGAAGTTCAGTAATGTAAGTGTTGGTTACCTTGGATTTGGAACATAACCAGTTGGCCAAAGATCTTGGTAAAGAACTTGGTAAAGACCTCAGTGTTGCTCATAGCACTTCTCTGGAAGCTGCCAGCAACAAAAATCATATCTATTGTATCTCTGAGTGGTCTGAAACCATACTGGGAAAGAGGTAGAATCTCCTCAACAATGAAAATGAGTCTACTGAGGAAAATGCAGGTGAGGATCTTCCTAGCCACCGACAGAAGTGCAATACCCCAATAACTGCTGTAATGTGATTTGCTTCCTATCTTTATTATGGTAAAATTTTTGTCATCTCTCAGGTCACTGGGAATCTGTTCATGTTTCCCTATTTTCATAATAACTATGTGTAGTTGATGAGAGTTTTTTTTTACATCTTGCTTATAAATTTCAGCTGATATCCATCAAGACCATGTGCTTTGCTGTTCTTCATCTGCTTAATGGTTTTCAAGGCCCCTTGATAAATTGGTGGATCTGCAAGGCCTGTTGTTGGATCTTCACGGGGTGTCATGGAATGGCTTCAGTGGTATTGTCTGCAACACAAGAATCTCAGTATAGGAACTACTGAAAGTTTTCCTTCCACTGTATATGGACAGCAGAGCTGTCTTTAAAGAGTGTTTTTTCCATCCTTGGACCTCAGAGGGAGGACTCTTGTGTGCTTACCCCATAGACAGCTTTGGTTGTGTTAAAGAAACTACATGTCATGGCTGTCGACAGCCAGGCTATGCAGATTATAAACATGGTAACAGCAGGAGACAATGTCTTGATTCACAGTTTTAAATTTGATTCCAATAAAGCTCACAGTCCACATTTTTTTTTAACAGGGATTCCCTACAAATGTTTCTCTGGATGTCTGTCAGGCTTCTTTGTTGCCTTCTCTGTGTACTTCAGCAGTGTTTTCCAGCTTCACTCTTACATGCAGCTTCCTCATTTACAGTCTCCTAGATTTTTATTTACATCCCAATCAGGCCTTTCTCCTCATGAAATTGAGATTCTGAAACAGCCCTGCACATCTCCTGTTCTTTAGATGGTAGTACTAATTGTTCCAGCTGTTTAGTTCATAAAGCAGGGCAATTACTTTTTATATTTATTCTGAATGAAGGGTGGCTGTTATGTTCACCACCTTCAATGAAGTTTATCCATCCCACAGCATAAAAGTATTATTGTGAAATTGTTTTTGTCCAAAGACTTATTTGCAATGCTATGAAAGAGTTAGATCTAACTGAGACAAATGAATGACAGCTATATTTAACATGGAAGCCAGTAGCCTGATTAATTTCAAGCACAGATATGGAGCAATTACATATGTTGCAGAAATGATTCGCAACCAGGATGCCAGGGTACCCCAGGTGCAATATCCTTTGAAGGGTGCCACAAAAACTGTGAGGCACCCTTACCCTTATATATATATATATGTGTGTGTGTGTGTGTGTGTGTGTGTATATATATATATATATATATATATATAATAGGATGAAATTATGAATGGGAATTTCTAGTTTGGACAGCATGAAAACCTTCTGCAAATTTACTAAGTTTTAGAATAGTTGCTTCAGGGAAGTGACAGAAACCACAGAGCTTGGCACATTTAAAATTAGAATGGATAAAATTCCAGAAAAATATACGGAGAACACTCAAACCCAATACAGAAACACACTGGATGATCTAATGGATCCTTTATGGTATCTAGGCTCTAGAATTCAGCAACATCAACACTACAACTTACAGGTTTTAGAAGGCTAAGAATAATTTCTCTAACTGAAGCTACACGAGCAATTACAATAGGAAACAATCATGAGCAAAACCAACAAATTACAACAGGTTAAAAGTGGGCAGGGACTTGCTGTACATCACCTCCTCTCTACCAACTGTTTGTGTACATGCTCTTACTTAGTTTACTGGCAGCTAAACTGCCCAAGTTTAGCTTTTGCTTTCTTCAGGGCAAGAGTGGGTATACGGGTTGTTGTCAGACATAGGGCAACTAACCTCCATTTAACTTGTAAGTTGTTCATTTGTCACTAGCTTCAGAGAGGAGAATGCTGTTTAATTAATAACCAACAGCCAACAAAGTAACTTTCTGGCTGTCTCACATCCAACTAACAAACAAGTCCAATCCTATTTATCTTATGACCTTTGTTAAGAACACTAGCTCAGGCAGTATTTTAGAATTGGGTTAAAAATTATGTGGGAACAATTTACCCAGATCCAAGAAGGAGCACCAGGGGGAAGAAATGCCAGGTCCTCGTCATTGTGGATTCCATCCTAAGGGGAACAGAGGGTCCCATCAATCGACCTGACCCCATGGCACGCGAGGTCTGCTACAGGCCTGAGGCTCAGATTCAGGATATCACAGAGAGGATCCTGGCTTACATTTGACCCTCGGACCAGTACCCAATGGTCCTTATCCATGTGGGAACAAATGAGGCGGCCAGAGGCAACCCAGACCGCATCATGAAGGACTTTGAGGCCTGAAAGCCAAGCTCAAGGAGATAGGGGCATGGGTGGCATTCTCCTCTATTCTCCCAATAAGCAGACATGGACGGCAACAGGAGGCCTGCATTGGTGAGGTTAACTGGCAGCTACGGAGCTGGTGCTGCCAGGCAGGCCTCGGGTTCCTGGACAACACCCCCCACTTTCACGCACGGGGCATGCTTGGGAGGGATGGGCTACATCTCTTCCCCAAAAGGCAAGCGTGTCTTTTCTTCCAGGTTGGCTAATCTCCTACAGCGGGCTTTAAACTAGCTTTGCCAGGGGATGGGGCCACAGGAGGACATGAGGACACCTCCCAGCCAAGACAGGTGACATGCACAAGGAGTACCCAGGTAAGTGACAGGGGTCCAGACAGTCCTAAGCATCAGGGGGTGGTGCATGCACCAATACAAGGCTTTAAATGCCTCTACACTAATGCTCATAGCATGGGGAATAAGCAGGAGGAACTCTCCCTCCGGATAGCTAGTACAAACCCGGACATAGTAGGGCTCAAAGAAACCTGGTGGGATTTATCCCATGACTGGGGGGTAAACATTAGGGGATACAGACTATACAGGCAGGATAGAACGGGGAGGAAAGGTGGGGGTATGGCGCTCTACGTTAAAGAGCAATACACATCCTCAACTAACAGGATAAGGTCAGAAGAGGGGCAGGCTGAAGTGCTCTGGGTCAGAATACAGGGGGGTCGTGGGGAAAAGGACTTAACACTGGGGGTCTAATACAGACCACCCAACCAAGGGGAAGAGCTGGACTCCAAATCATCAGGTCAGCTTGTGGAGGCACTTAAGGGAAGGGATGTAGTCATCATGGGTGATCTAAATTACCCAGACATCTGCTGGGAGGAGCAGTCAGCCAGGTCTGACTGCTCATGAAGGTTCCTTGCTGAGATACAGGACCTCCACTTAACCCAGGAGGTGCACAGTCCCACCAGAAGGACTTCCCTGCTGGACCTGATCCTGGTCACAAGTGATGGCCTGGTGAGGGGAGTCCAGGTTCTTGACCACCTGAGCAACAGAGATCGTCACCTACTGGAATTCACCATCCATCGCAGGGTGTCAAGGGCCTGCAGCAAGGCAGTAGCCCTTGACTTCAAGAGGGCCAACTTCAATGAGTTGTGGAGACTGGCAGGAGAGGCACTGGGGTCCTGGAGGGTAGGGGAATGGGGTGTCCAAGATGAGTGGTTGTCCCTTAAGAAGACGATACTCTGAGCCCAAGGAGTGACAGTCCCAACGAGAATCAAGGGGGGAAGAGTGCTCAAAAGCCCCCCTGGCTCACCAAAGGCATTCAGAAATGCCCGAAAGCCAAAAAGAAGGAGTACACCCAGTGGAAGGGAGGGCTATCACCAAAGAGGAGTATACCTCCATCGCTCGGGTCTGTAGGGGGGCTGTTAGGAAAACTAAGGCAGATACGGAACCAGGGCTTGCATCAAGGATCGAGGACAACAAAAAGTCCTTTTTTAAATACATAGGGAGTATGAAGAAGGCACTGGGTAACGTGGGGCCCCTGCAAGATACGCTTAGCAATCTGGTGGTTGAACCAGAGGAAAAGGCAAACCTTTTTAACAACTTCTTTGCCTCCATTTTTTTGCGCAGGGACCAGGACTCCCCCACCAAGATTCAGGACGGACTCAGGAGAGACTCTGCCAGGCCTAGGGTCAGGGAGGACCATGTTAGGGAACTTCTGGAGCGGCTGGACGTGTTCAAGTCAGCAGGTCCAGATGCTCTCCACCCCCGGGTTATCGAGGGGCCCCTGGCACAGCTTTACAAGCACGCGTGGTGCTCTGGCCAGGTGCCAGATGACTGGAAGGCCAATGTGGTCCCCATTTTCAAAAAAGGGAGGAGGACCCAGGTAACTATAGGCCCGTTAGTCTTACTTCAATCCTGGGGAACTCTTTGAGAAGATTATCCTGGGGCACATCTGGGAAGGACCAGCAGGGGGGATGATGCTCAGGGGCAACCAGCATGGGTTCATTAGGGGCAGGTCCTGTCAAACCAACCTGACTGCCTTCTGTGATCAGGTCACAAAATCATTGGATGCAGGTGTCGCGGTGGATGTAGTCTTTCTGGACTTCAGGAAGGCCTCTGACACTGTCTCCCATCCCATTCTCATTAAAAAGCTAGGCAACTGTGGCATTGATGGCTACACAGTCAGATGGGTTACAAATTGGCTAGAGGGCCACACCCAGAGAGTGGTTGCGGACGGGTCATGTTCGACCTGGAGGGATGTGGGCAGTGGAGTCCCCCAGGGCTCAGTCCTTGGGCCCGCACTGTTCAATTTCTTTATTAGCGATTTGGATGAGGGGGTGAAAAGCACTCTGTTCAAATCTGCTGATGACACCAAGATTTGGGGTGAGGTGGACATGCTAGAAGGGAGGGACAGGATACAGCTGGACCTGGGCAGTTTACAGGGGTGGGCGAATGAGACTTTGATGGGATTCAATACTGGGTACTGCACTTGGGCAGTAAGAACCAGCAGTATACCTATAGGCTGGGGAACTCCCTTCTCGTCAGCACAAAGGCAGAAAAGGGTCTTGGAGTCATTATCAGTTCCAAAATGAACATGGGTTACCAACATGAGGATGCAGTCAGTAAGGCCAACCACATCTTGTCATACATCCACAGATGCATCACAAGCAGGGCCAAGGAGGTGATCCTCCCCCTCGTGCGACACTGGTCAGGCCACAGTTGGAGTACTGCGACCAGTTCTGGGCGCCGCACTTTAGGAGGGATGTGGCCAGCATTAAGAGGGTCCAGAGGAGGGTCACTCACATGATCCAGGGACAGTAGGGCAGACCCTACAAGTAGAGGCTACGGGACCTGAACCTGTTCAGCCTTCACAAGAGAGGGGACCTGGTGGCCATCTATAAACTTACCAGGGGGGACCAGAGGGGAATGGGAGCGACCCTGTTCCTCTGAGCACCTCCTGGAGTAACAAGGAATAACAGCCATAAACTGTTTGAGAGTAGGTTCAGGCACTACTTCACAGTCAGGGCAGCTAGGATCTGGAAGCAACTTCCAAGGGAAGTGGTGCTGGCTTCTACCTTGGGGGTCTTTAAGAGGAGGCTGGATAGTTACCTAGCTGGGGTCATATGAGTCCAGTATTCTCTCCTGCTCAGGGCAGGGGGTCAGACTTGAAGATCTACTTGGGTCCTTTCCGACCCTACATCTATGAATCTATGAACTCTGAATTTAAGATGACCCCCTAGTAATTAGATTCTATGTATGGAAACTTACAAATTTGTTAAAATTTTCCATGTAAAGAATCTAATTAGTGGAGGGCCATCTTAAATGTGTCACTCCCAAAGCAGTGGCAAGCTGCAATAAGCCACACCCTCACTACGTGCCTCCCGACTCTGTGCCTGTCTTCCCTGCCACCTGCCTCCTAGGTCTCTGTCCCTTTCCCCCCCTTCCCTGTGCCCGCTCCCCTGCTACCCGCCCCCCCTGCTGCTTGCCCACCCTGCCATTTGCTCCTGCCACCCTACCATGTGTCCCCCCATGCTGCCTGCACTACCTGCCCCACTGCTGCATGTCTCCTCACCTACTTCTTTCCCCCTGCACTTAACTTCTGGGTAGCTTTGGCAGCTGTGGTAGCTCCAAGCCTGGCTGGATCAGGGCAGAAGGACTAAAGACAGAGCCAGAGCTGACGGTAAGCAGCTGAGTGGAGGGGGTAGGCTGCACAGTCTCCCTGAGTGTCCCCAAGATGTACATGCAAGTCTCCCCCTTGCACCCACCCACAATGTACTGTCTCCCCTGAACTACACCCAACGTGTGGCCCTTCCTCTGTTGCCCAAGGCCTCAGGCCCAGGGCCAAAGCTGGAGCTGAGCCACCACCTGCCCTGGGCCAGTATTCAAATCTACGATGAAGCCTCCCCCCACCCCTCTATGCTGACTGGGGAAAAAATCATTTTATTGAATTTGAGTATATACAGTAATTACATAGCTTGAGACCTTGCCCAACAATTAAATTGTCTTTTTAATCCAACCATCCAACCTTCGCCACTGGAAATTTTCAAAAGCAGATTGGACAGACACTTTGGGATGTTTTAATAAGGGATGATCCTGCCCTGAGCAAGGGGCTAGACTAGATGACTTCATGAGACCCTTTCCAACCCTACTTTCCTATGATCCTATGCAATAGAGTAAAGGAAAAAAATGCATTAATTTCTCTGTCTCTCACCCCTCATTTCCCCGCAACTTTTTCTGGTAGTAAATACCTCTGAAGAGCCTATTCTTTCCAAATGGAGTTCATCCTCCTTTTTTTGATAGGGAATTCTCCATATCTTAGAACAACAGTGTGAAAAATTCTAAGTCAGCATTGGTACAATTAGTAACAATTAAAATAATCTCTCAATTTATATTCTTAACAGTGTAAGACAGAAAATAAAGAGGTAGGTGGAAAAAAGGAAAGAAAAGACTATTAATTACAAATTTACTTTCAGAACAATTTCTGAGGACTTTCCTACAACATGAATATTTTTTTGCAGCGATGTAGCTGCACGGTTACAAGTGTGATTTCCTCCAGAGGTGAGTGGCCCTGAGAAAAGTATTTTTTAACACCAGTGCAGTTTATCTACACCAGAGCTTTGCACTGGTGCAGCTCTGCTGCTTAGAGAATACCTCAATTCCCAGTAGGCAAAGACAAACCCTGCAGCTAGAGCTCACATCTTCAAACATCCCCAACTTCCTTACCTTAACTTTATTGACATAGCACATATCCTCTGCAGAGCCAGTTTGCTTGTTTACTGTGAAGTAATTCACTTTCTTGGAAAAAAAATAAATGAAAGGCTTTTACATTTCATGATAAACCTGGGACTGAATCAGAGCAGAGAGCTGTCCTCTGCATTCATTAGACTGCTTTAGGGTTAGTGGTCTACCAGCTGGTATGGAATAGCACAGAACCCTGAACTTAGGTCTTAGCAGGAAAAGAATGAGAAATATTTAAAATATTTTGCCTGAAAATGTGCTTGGGTAGATGCAAATTAAAAAGCTTCCTAAAAGTCAGGTAAAGTAATACACTTTACAGCAGTAGGAAGGATGGAGTTGGACCCAGATATATTCAATTCACTGCAACTATGCTAGCATAATGGATGCTGAACCTCTGCAGGATTTAACACACTGAATTATGGTGCTAGTAGCTCTTCTTTTGGTCAGTCCATACTGTTTCCTTCCTTACTAGCCAAGTCAAAGCAAATTCAACATCTTTGCCGGGACAAAAAGGGAATACAGGGAGTCCTGACCTGAAAGCATATGTATAGCAGGCTTCTGTAATGCAGTTTCGAAGTAGGCCTCCCAGAGTTGGGATTTTTTTGAATGTCTGAAAGCAATAAGGCAAGGATTTTTTGCAGGGTGATATCTTTTATTGGACCACCTGCATTTGAGAGCTTTCAAATGCATTCAAAAGCATTTGAAAAAAGCAACACATTCTTCATCAGATCTGAGGAACCAAGCAAGCACAGCAATTGTTAGGAACAGTGAGTAAAGCTGTGAAATTGGATGGAGGAGCAATTACCGGGGTAGCAGACAAACAATTAGCAGAAGAAAAGACTGATTACTGGGAGATAAAGACGTATCAAAAGAAGGGAGGGTCATTATCACCTGTAGTATATAGGAAGAATTTCAGGAATCAGTTAGATTATAGTGTGCCATAAATTCAACATAAGTGTTTAGGCCTTGATTCTTAGTGTCCAGCCAGCTTATGATTTTTTTTTTTTGTTCCCAAGCTCATCTTTAAAGGTGTTTGATAGATTTCCAATGAGTATGAGACTTGTGAGCTCAGAAAGGGTCTTACTGCTTGTCTCTGTCCTTCACGTTTTTTCTGTAAGAGCTCATTCTGGTATATAGTTTCCATTTCCTTTTACCCACATAGTTAGGGCTATGCAAAGCTTCCGGCGCTGATTCAATTCGGTGGAGATTCAGCCCAATTTGACGGCCAAATCGCCGAATCAAATCAGGAGATCCTTTAACCTTTCTGAATCAAATCAGAACCCTCCGAATCAATTCAGAGAGATTTGATGATTCAGACATAGACACAGCTTTAAATGCTTTTTCTACATACCTAAAGGTACCAGGCAGCTCGTGAACACTGAGTTGGAAGGGCAGATGGAGCATCCCATGGAAGCGCGGGAGGGTCCTCAACACGCTCAGCGGTGGACCCGGAAGTGGACCAGAAGCACTTCTGATCCACTTCTGGATCCACTGTGGAGCATGCGGGGGACACCCCGCTCTTCGCCCCCCCAACTTGATGACTAGTGCCTCCTGGGTCTGGGGGGGCACCCAGGGTCCCCCCGCGGCTGATCACCGAGCCGGCGGGGCGTGGGGGGGTGTCCGCTGCCGAGCACACAGGGCCCTCCGCCACACTCCTGTGGGATGCTCCACCCACCCCACCATTGCAGCATTCACAAGCCATGCCCGGTACCTCGAGGTATGTAGAAAAAACGTTTAAAGCTGTGTCTATAGCCAAATTGCTCATTCTCTGAATCAGCACCAAATCTTCAGATTCAGATTAGGCTGAATTGAATCAGGACAGAGATCCAAATCAACGATTTGAATCAGTGTCCCCAATTCAGGCCAAATACAAACCCTAATTGAATACAGCCCATTTTGCACACCCCTAATAATTACCATGAGGCCATTTGGTGTCCTACTGGCACAGATGTATCACATTTTGGTAAATGTATGTATAGGATCCAGGGGTTCTGATGGGTTCATTGTAGGGGGTACTGATGGTTGCAGCAATGAAAATGTGTTGACAGGTTAAGCATCTATTGTCAAGGCAAAGCTGTGTCCCATTTGATGTCTGCTGAGCAGTGGGCAGTTTGCTTCTGATGATGAATTGGGCAAGGTTAGGGGTTGTTTGAAAGCCACAAGTGGAGGGGCTGGGATTATTTCTCTCAAGGTTTGATCTTTGTCAAGTATAGGCTGCAGTTGTTTGATGACTCTTTTAATCAGTTCCAGTGTGGGGTGGCAGGTGACCACTAGGGGTGTGTGGTCACAGAGGGGTTTCTTTTAGTATTGTAGTATGTTACAACACTACTACCCCTGGGAATTTATCCCCCCTCCAATTTCACAGCTCTACCCACTGTTCTTAACAATCATTGTGCTTACTTCCCACCTCAGACCAGCTGAAGAATGTCTTGGAAACAAAAGCTTCTCTAACTTTATCCCAACTGTGCAAGTTGGCCCAATAAAAAAGATATCACTCAAAAACATCCTTCCCTCGCATAATTCCTGGCCATCACAGCCACATCAGTCTATCATATCTGAAAGCAATAAGTAAAATTACCTTTCAAAGTTAAGAAAGAAAATCAGAAAAGTAATCTGTTGCTTTGGGCTGTTAAGATTCACTGGGGAACTGTCTTAATGCTGAAGGTGAAGAAAACTTCTTAAAGAAGGAAACTAACAGATATATCTCCAATAGACATTAGATTATCTTCCCATTTGGTACTAAGATTTCTGTCATTTAATTCTGGGAAATACAAGGTAATTACTATATATGATACAATTCAAAGATCTGTTCTGAGTAAAACTAAGTCAGGACTGTCATTTATAATTTGATCCCACTTTCAATCCCAGAAAACCTTGGACCAAAACAAAAAGAGGGAAGGAGGAGAGGGAGAGAGAAAGAGAGAGAGATAGAGAGTTTCCTTAAAATAAGCCAACCAGTTTAATCATACTGCATTCTTAGATAACCTCAGCCTTCCAGCAAAATTCTTGCATTCAATAGCACATATTTTGATTCTGTGGATATTCATCTCTGACTTACTTTCCTTTGGAAGGTCAGCTGGGTGGAATAGAGAAAATGTTATAACTAAAAACCCTGAGATCTGGGTTTCTATCATAGGCAATATCCCTCTGAAAACTAGTACGGCTGAGAGCAACAATCAAGGCAGTGATGCTTTCATTAGTCAGAAGTAGGAAGCGTTACCTTGTTCAACAAAATGCTGTTAGGTGGGCAACTGACTAAGAATAACAAGTATGTTTGCCTGCCTGAGATACAGGACAGAAAAATTAATCCGTTATAAACACACTGATTCACTGAGGAAATCTTAAATTCCACAATCCAGATTTGAGACATTATTCACCAACATACTTATGTGTATGCCTAAATTAAGCATAAGGGTAATGCTATTGAGTTGAATAGGACTACTAATGTATTTAAAGCTAAACACAAGCTTCAAATAATTTGCCAGATTAGAACCCAATCATTTATAGTTTTTAATAGGACACAATCCAATTCCCTTTAAAGTAAATGGAAAGATACCCTTCAATTTCTATAGCAGTTACATCAGGCTCCTAGTTCTCTGGAAAGACTCCAGCTTGTGAGATGATTCCACAGGGTTGGTACACAAAGGTACATATATGTAGATGTCAGAGGCAGAGTACCAAGAGGAAGTTCCAAAAGACGAACCACAAGCAAATGAAACTCTCCTTTGTCCTAATTGGGCACCTTCACATGTGATCTAAGAGCTGATCTAATTAACTTGCCCACAGTGTCACGTGTACTCAGTGTCCTGTGCTTCAAAATGGAGGTGGGGGCGCTCTAACTGCCCCCACTGAAGTGCAGGGATGTTGAATACATGTCATGCAGAGGCTGCTGGAGCATGCTAATTATCACGCTCCAGCAGGCTCAATTAATCGAGTCTGCTCCGACGTGTGGTGTTTAGCACAGGTCAGAGCAAACGCCCAACACATGTATAGGTGCACATTATGCCTAGTCTCCAAATCCATGTATCAAGCCTAGATGAGCATTTACACACATTAAGTTATATCCACACTGTGTCCAGTTTGGGGCAAGGTACTTCAGGAAAGACGTGGGCAACAACTGAAGACAATCCAGAGGAGAGCAACTAAAATGATCAGAGGGTGAGAAAACATGACCTATGAAAAATGGATAGAATAATAGGGTTTGTTTAATTTAGAGAAGGCAGAAGGGGGACACAATCACAGTCCTGAAATCTATAAAATATTGGTGCTGTGAAAATCAATAAATTGTTCTCCACATCCACTAGGAATAAAGCAAAAAATAATGGATTTAAATGGGTGCGGGGCCCAGGGCAAATCAGCCCATGTGGGGCCCCACCCCCACTCCAATCCCACCCGCCCTGGATCTGGAGAACCTGCCGCAACCATCGGCAGCATCAGCGGGGAGGGGTTAGTGAGCAGCTGGACTTGAAGCAAGCAGCGGTGGTGCAGTCACCGTGGCTGCTCCACCTGGCTCTGCGGGGTCCCCTGTGGCTGGATCGGCTCCAGCCAGCCCGGCCCCACACAGAGGGATTAGGTCTCAGCCCCACATGACTACGTCAGGCCTCAGGCAGACTTGTTGCGTGGTGGGATCTGCTCCAGTGTGGGCTAGCCCACATGATGGATTAGACCCACAGACCAATCTAGTCCACTGACCAACCTGGTATTGTACTTCCAGCCTGAGGGAAGAAAAGGTTGGGCACAGCTGAATTAGACAGACATATGTCAGTTATGGGATAGATGGAGCTCATCCTACCTTGGGACAGGAGTAGGGACTGGATGACCTCTCAAGGTCAAAACCTTCCGTATTTTCTACAATTTTCTGATTATTTACTAACAGGTGTTTTCTCTCTTTTTTTTTTTTTAACATTTTACAGTGCAACATGGGGTAGAAAACAGGAAAGTACTCATTCCTCCTTGAAACAGAATTCTTGTTTTTGTTGCTGTAACTAATTTATATATTTATTTTTACAAAGTAAGCCCAGCTTTATGCTCCCTTGCTACTATACCAAAAAAATAAATCCAAGTTCCTGCATGATGTGACATATAAAACGTGTATGCTGAAGTGACTGCCCAGAAAGTCCTTATTCTGAGCAGAATGCTAGCATAATCTAAAAATATTCACTGAAATAAGAACTGGATTTTTTAAAATTCTCAATCTCTTTAGCTGATGCTTATTAAAATGATTTAGTCTGTTAGAACAGAAATTGACATTTTTTTACTTCTAACTTGCAGCAGTTCTAAAATCAAGATTTGTTTTTCAGGAAATAAAGCAAAATTAAATAAATGTGTTTGCATTTCATAGGGAAAAACACTCAGCAGGACTGTCATGTAATTAAACCACATGTTTTTAAAGCAGCTACCATGAGTTCATTACAAACACTAGAATGTTGCCAGTTGTCTTGATTTTTTGGAGTTAAGTCATGATTTAAAACTTTGACATCAGAAGCACAGTCTAGTATCTGTAATCAGAATGGCAGACGCTCATCTCATTTGGTTTTCAGATGCACATTTCATATACATCCTTTTTCAAGGTATTCTGATATTAACAAAGAATGGCTCATTAATAACTACCCCCCTCCCCCTTTTAGAGAATATAGCCCAACATTTTTCATTTGTGAATGCGCGTAGCCACATGCCTGTCTGCACAGATCAAGTTTTGCTTCTGCTGGGATTCAGTGTCCATTTTGCTGAACCACAGGCAAACATAACAGCTCATTGACTTCTCTTTTTAACTCTAAACTTACATAGGCACATCAAACCTTCTCCCTGCATTCTCTTGCCACAACTGTTATCACAAAGTCTATTCAAAATTCTCCCAAGGGCCAAGACCAACACTTGCAAGACAATCTAACTTTATAAGAAACTGAAAGCCTGCTCTGTTCTTTGCTGTCCAATAAAAAACTGGTTCTTTCTAGTGCTATTATTTCAGACCTGTATCAGTTCTCAATTTGACCGCAGTTGGGACTAATGTTCTCCCCCTAAACATGTGTCATATTAGCTTGAACCTTTTATGCATTTGCTGGAGAAGGTATCAAGAGGTTTCTTCTTTAAATGACAGCAATATGCCCACAGGACAGACCTGCCAGAAGAATTCTTTAGCATTGTGGAAGTAACTAGGTATCACAGAGAAAATGCTTTGAAGTTACCCATTTACGGCACCCAATGAACTAGAGCTGGATCAGTTCTTTTTACTGGATTACTTTCATGGCAAGCTCTTTCTGTCCCATCTGAAGAGTTCTTTTGTGACTAAAGAATGAGGATGTATCTTGGGAATGATTTGATACCACAAAAGATGATTCTTGTAGCTTATCTTACTGCAAACTCCTCTGTTGAAGGAAATGATGCAGAGCTCTCATATCACCTGATCAGAATGATAGCACATACAGTGTACTTTTATTGTCTGACTGTGTGTGCTATAACTTTTTTATGTAGGACTTAAATCCAAATTTTATAAATTGACATACTAATTGACAGAAGTTTTCCACAGACTTAAAAGAGGCTGTAATCTAGAACATATTCCACTGGGACAGGGTAGGTCTCCCAAAGATAAAGGAAATGCCTATACCAGGAAAAAGAGTGCCTTTTAAAATGCGTCAGTTAAAATATATTATTACATAACATACTCTTAATAATTGTAGACAAATACCATAATGTTTAAAACTACATAATGATGTTGTAGAGTAGGGTTCTCTTGAGTTTAGTACATAACTGGCCATGGTTATTTCAAAGCTGCTAAACTAAAATACCAGGTACTAACCAGTGCTTCAAATTACATTAGTGAATTCAATCTTCTTTCCTTAAGCCTGCCTTATACTTAAACAATATATCAAGGTTATTATTTTGAATATGAGTGTAATTTAAAAATATTATATCAGTACCTCCTCTACAGATGGTATGTTGATATAAATTACTCTTCTTTGCTCTTGAGCTTAAGCTGTACTATTATAAGCACTTTTAAATAATTGGTACAATTGCACCCATACTAACAATACTGTTAGTTACAACTAACTAATTGTAAATATACTGGTAGAACTAAAGCACTACAGTTTGGGGATGCAGGGGGAGGAAGATGAGCATCTAATCCAGATCAGCAATTCTGAACCCTTTTAGATGCAAGGCACTTCATTAAACTCCAGGCACCCCTCAGAAAATGCCAGCTCTTAGCTTTCACTCAATTTTTGACTATGGAAAAAAAAAACAATAGAGTGATTCTTCCATTTGCAAAGAATTCAGAGAGCCCACAACAGGTCAGAATATTTTAACTACTATGGACACCTATTTGAAAACTCTGGGTTTGTCTTGTGAATCATGTGTACGTGATTGCATACATCACAGTGCTTAGATTAAGCGGCACCCCACAGCATCTTTAAAAGGATCTTATGGCAACTGGTTGAGAGCCACTGATCTAGACAGATCCTTTGTATATGGTGGGTGCATCTACACATGCATATTATTGTGGAGTAGACTAGCTCCACAGTAAAGCAGCACCATCTACGCATGCACCAGTAACAGGGCACAGTAAATTAATTAACTCTGCCATAAGATAGTACTGTCAGGGATGGCGTTATCTTACAACAGGGTTATTTACTGAGCTGCAACACACAAGTGGATGGTGATCAGGACAGCAGCACTTTGAGCTGGGGCAGAGCATCCCCAGGCTGGCAGCAGCTCGGGGACAGGAGGGGTGTCAGTCACACAGCTCCACAGTTTGAGCACTCTTGTGCCCCAGCCAGCCCCTCTGCTGTGCAACACCACCACCCAGAGCCTAGGGCTGACCTCCCCGAGCCCACCACCAGTTTAGGGCTGCTTCACCCCAGCTCAAAGTGCTGCTGCCCTGGATGCATGTGTAGACGCTGCACCCAGGTCAGTGTACTCTGGAGCAAACTGCTCTGAAGTTTATCATGTCACATTAACTGCATGTGTAGATGCAGCCAAAAAGAGCTTCACAGTGCTTAAAGACATGTTACAACAAGTTAGCTGACAGGTTTTGAAACAACTCATTTTCCTAGGTTAGATGAACTGAGATATTTTATGACACTTCTTTCTTTCTTTCTTTCTTTTTCACCCAACAGTGCTGGCAATGTGCTAAATGCAGACAGGTTTCAGTCCATTTTTACTTAGTGAGTTCTGCTCTTTGGTTTTCTGACTCCATGTTTCTAGTCCTCTTGCAGAATTTCTTATCACAGAAGGTGGCTTGCTTAGGATTACATTTTCCTTTTTTTAATTAGTTCTTTTCTTCTTTTACATAGGAGTATTTTAAAAAAATAGCAGTAGCTTCAGAACTCCTAACTATTTCAGTTTAGTGGAGTTTCCATTTATGGCCCAATGGAAACTGATAGTGGGGATATTCATGTTTCTGATTAATCACTGGGTATATTAAAAGTGACTGTAATTCAAGAAGAAACTATCCCATCTTTCTGCAGAACTCAGACTTCACTATCAGCTTCACTGATTCCCACTGAGATCAATGCACAGATTCTTCCAAAGTCTTTAAATCCTGATCTAGGAAGCATTCTACACAGAATTAAAAAACAGTAGCAAAGCTTGGCAGTCTACAGATTTAAATGGTGAGCATATGTCCCTGTACAGCCATTTCCATCTGATTTTCCATCAGTTAACTGACAGGCATAAGAATAAGTATCATATTTATACAGATGGAAAAATGTAGAGCTTAACGGTGGGATTTTCAAAACTACCAATGAGATTCAGGAGCTGGCCCCAAGCTGCACACAGAAGAAATAAGTATCACAACTGAAATTAAAGCTCAGGAACTTCTGGCTCACTGTCCTGTTTTCAGGCAACTAGTTCATGTAACCATAACAAGTTCAGAAGCTACAGTCCAACTTGGAAAACTATTTTTTTTCACAGACATATGTGATCTAAAATGCAGAGAGGGTTTTAAAAGCCTAGTTATAGCTCTCAGGATCCCAATAATAATATGGAAGTTATATTTTTATACATAAAATTATAAAATCATTCTGAAACTTACCACAGATGTAAGAGCCATCTGAAAACTGTAGATTCGTGCAAGGCCAAAGTCAGCTAATTTTATCTGTCCACTACTGGTTACAAGGATGTTTTGTGGTTTCAGATCACGATGCACCACTCGGTGTGAATGCAGAAAATCCAGCCCTCGTAACAGCTGAAGCATCATATCCTAAATAGATCAATACACACTTATCAAGACAAGGTGACAAACAAGCAAATATCACTTCCTCCACATGACTCAAAAGGCTATGACAGAATATTGCTACAGCCAGATGGCTTGAACAGGCATGCATATCAAGCTTATTTTTTGCTTTTAGTTGAATTATTTATCAACAAAATCATAAACACTGATCAACATATTTTTAAAAATATATAGATCAAAATTCTGCTGTGTGGCAAAACAAACTTCAAGAGCAGATTGCCTAGGTCAGAAGATGGCATGACAGCTGTTCTGAGCTTCAGTTCAATCTACTCAGCACTTAACTGAAGAGGGATATCGTTTTCATAAATATACTAGCCAATTGCCAGTCAAGAATGATGGGGATGGGGGTAGGGACAAAGGCCTGCCTCTGGCCTCCCATCCCCCCACCCTCCCTGCCGCCATTGCAGAGCCAGGCATGCTACCCCTCACCCTCCCTGCTGCTGTTGCAGGGCCAGCCTGGGCCCGGTGCCCTTCTCCCTCTGCCGTTTTGGGGCTGGACCAGGCCCGGCATGCCCCCTCCACCCTCCCTGTTGCCATTCTGGGGCCGGGCATGCCCCTCACTGCCTGCTGCCGTTTTGAGGCCAGGTCAGGTTGGGCCTGGTGCACCCCCCCACCGCAGTTTGGGGGCCAGGCCCGCTTCCCCCCCATCTGCCCGGCCCACATCCATCTGCCTCCCTTCCCCATGAATGACGGGGGGAAGGGGCACAGATGGAGCACTGCCACCCAGCACCCTGTTCCACCGCTGCACCCAGGGAGCAGGGGGTGGGGGGAAGGCCAGCACTTCTGGCCTCATCCTCTGATCTGTCTACTCCATCGCCGCTACCTCCCAGGAGTAAGGGGGACAAGGCTAGCTGTCACGTCATGGCAGCATCTGGGCCTGCTCTTCCCCCATGCCACAGCGAGTCCAGGTACCTTCCCCTCCTCCCTTGCACCGCAAACATACATGTTATACTAGCATTTGTCACTTCAGACTGAGAACTCCTATCACCATAAAATAATATGTATTACAGAGGTTGTGGTGGTGGTGGTTGCTAGTGTTAAAGTTGCATATTAATTTCCACTTTAACCTCCTGTTTTCAAAGGATCACATGCATTTACTTTACGCATTGTGAAGCGATGGTGAATTTACACCTTAAGTAACTGGTTCCAATGTTAAAATAGGCACTTTATTTCTAGCCTGAATCCAGCCATTGCTAGATTCTAGCTAGTCTTTGCTGGATTAAAGCATCTGCTAGTATCAGAAATGTTCCATCACAAAGATACTTCAATACTGTGATCAAGTCACAATATTATTTTTCTCTTTGTTAAAATAAATATTATGCTTTTTTAATCTAGGCAGATAGTTTCAAATAATTTTGTAGCCCTTGTCAGAACCCTTTCTAAATTATTACCATCTTTTTGAGGTATGGAATGAGAACTGAGCATGATATTCCAGCAATAGTCATGTTCATTCTAAATTCTGTAATACAACTCTCTACTCGCACCTGATCTTTCACTACTTAAATATCCAAAATTTGCATTAATTCTCTTACCCATAATGTTGCACAGGAAGCTCATATTCAATCAGTTATTCTCCAGGACCCACAAGTTCCTCTCAGAGTAACTGACTTGTAAAATACAGTCCCCCATCCTGTAAGTGTATTCTACGGTCTGACCTTGCATCTGAATGTATTAAATCTGATGTCCAAGTGCATGCAGATTACTGTGCATCTATACTGACCAGTAAAAATTACCTGTCATTTACAATCATCACAAGACTAAAATTCTCCATTATATATAGGCTACTTAAATTTGCAGCCTCTGTACTGCACCTAAGCAAGGCTGTATTGCAAATGAACAACTAAATTAGCTTTCTAGTTGAGGTCCTCTCCCCTCAACTGAACTAGGTATATCTGTATTACTAGAATGATTCAAAAGAGAAAGAACATAAGATATGGCTTCTAAGTCATTAAAGTATTCACTTAAAGAGAAAAGAATTTACATATTAAAGGTCTAGGGGCTATACTCTGCCATGGTAAGGGGTGGTATAGAGTTGTGCGACCTCAAGAAAATGACCACAGACTAGGACACCTCCCAAAGTAAGCATGCCTGCAGAAGCACTGTACAGGTATTCACTGCTTGCCCAGACTTTCTGCCATCCCTGGCTGGTATGTAGAGATGTGAAGCTAGGCTCGTATTCCTGTTGATCTAGGGCATGTGATTTTATTTATTTCTAATGCTATCATTTTATTTATTAAATTTATATCACCCTCTGCCTATCAATTCTTCACACCAGTGAATGTGTTTCTGAATCCAGCGGATATGGTTGGCATTATCACTGATGATGGATAGAATAGAGAGACCTTCTCATTTGCAGAGACCCTGAGAATCACTGCTAATGCACAGAATCTTGACACGTTTTCTTTTTCTTCCTCCTTATCTATTTTGTGGCTTACATGCTAAAATATACAAAAATATAACAATCTTTATGAATCTACCAATTCTTCTCCTGTTTCTACCTGGAGAATTCTCTGTACTGGAATCCTGTAACCTACATCCTACAGAGATTACTTTATTTCTTTTCTACTGCAGAAATGGAATCTTCCTACTTTGGACAGCAGGTGTTGGGATATTTGAGCTGAATGCTTCTTCTAGGAGTGTTTGCATGAGAGATGACCACAAGTGTAAACAATGAAGATGAGTTTTAGAAAGCGGTATGTAATGAGTCATTAGGACTGGAGTTTGGCAAATGGGATGATTTTGCCTCTTACTGAAGCCAATGGCAAAAATCCTAATGATTTCAGCAACAGCAGGATTAGGCCCCAAACGTTTTAAAGGATAACACAGGAGCTTCAGACAAAAAACTGCTTTCATTTAAAATACTGATTATCAAATATTTTGGAAAGACACTTTAAAGGGGCTTCATATTCTCCAAGACTTATTTGAAACAGAATAATTAGAGCACTTCTAAGGTAATACTTTTAAAAAAACAGTCAACGTTAATTAATGCCAAAAAAATCCTAAGGAATTACATGTTACTGCTACATGAAAAGCAAAAGACACAGTAAGCGGCCCTCTGCCCAAAATAACTGCCTGCCCCTGCAGACACTATATGTTAAATGTTGCTGTATTACCCGTTTAGCTTTACTTCAAAGCCTTAATTCAGTAAGGCTATGTTATATGAGTAAGAGTAGCAAAATTAGGTAAAAAATTTGCTGTGATATTCCAATCTATTCATCTAGCAGAGACCAAGAGTACATGAATTTCATTATGGATTAAGACATATTTAGCATTGACTAACAGACCAAGTCTGTCTGACCCATTAGTCTAGTGGTGTTCAACTTCCAGCCCCTGGGCCATATCTGGTTCACAGAACATGTGGGGCTTCCCATGGGTCTATAAATTTGGTGGTGGGGGTGCAGTACCAGCATTCAATTGCCAAAGCTTCCAGAGTCACAGCAATTAATGCTCCCCTTCCACCAAATTTCCAGACCCATCGGAAGCCCTATGGTCTGGATGACATAGCTCCACATGCCAG